TTGCTAGGCCTAAAATAGGAAGCCAGCACTGGACATGCAGCTTTTTTCCCAGACAGTATTTCTATTTGGATACCAAATTCCAAAACTTTAAAGAATTCAGACAGCAGTCACAAAAGTTTTGAACTCTCTATCACATCCAAACACAGCTCACATATTGCAGAGAATCAGCTGATGTTCCCCAATTCAGGGACAACCCATGCCAACAAAAGCCAGAAACGCAAAGCTCCTTGCCTAAGTGAGCCAGCTGCTAGAATCAGGTCCCTCACAACACAAAGTACGGCACAAGGGAAACTCCATTTCTTCTGTGTATTCTTTGTTCACTTTCTTTTGCCTTTACATGAGTAATATTAGGGTGACAATATCTCCTCCAGTTCTACTACTGGTAATATATCCTGTGCAAGGTGGTTTTTCTGCTGAGAACCTCTGTCCTACCTAATGTCACCTTGCTCTGTCCCTGCAGGGTCCAGCTCACAGGTTTCATTGCTAGGATGCAATACACTGACCTCCTTCATAACAGAGGCTACCGATTATACCAGGGAATTTGCATAGATACAAAAATGTGACGGTATGTTCAAGTCTACACTGTAATATGTGCTGACGTGTACAGTATGAGTATGTGCTAAAATACTCCAGACAGACAGACAGCTTGGTTTAAAAACAGAAGATTTATCACAGTCCCTGTTAAAAGCAGAGGTGGCACAGCACAGAAGAGCAGCCACTGTTCTTCACAGCTCCATTTAGAGGCCCGAGGGCCTCAAAAGTTAATACTGCAAATATTTTAATACCTAAAGCTAAAACAGTATGTCTTTCAGTGGTTCTGAGCATTCTAAATTGTGGCTTAGGAAAGTATCTATCCCCCCTCCCAGCATACAGGATAACATACCTCCCGGAAAAGCATCATCATATTGTAGTTTCAGAGCACTGGTACCAAAGTCCCTTCACTTTGTCACTTCTACCCTCACTTTGAAAAGGTTCGCTTTATTCAACTACGAACTTGTTTTGGCCTCCAGAAGTCAAATGCAAAGCACTGATTTCAGCCCTTGTCTATTTTTTTTTGCTCCCCTTTGAAAATGGGGTTTATCAATGTTTTTCACATCAGCTTCCCATCTTACATTATAAAGATTTGCAGTCAAACAGGAAAATGTTTTACTTTTGAAAAACCAGAAAAGGAACAAATGTGTCTCATACCCAAAAATCCTAAAAATCCTACTTACATAAACAATGTCCCATTTCCAAAGCACAGAGATTTCTTAAGTTCAGCAAACAGACTGTCTGTGCTGCATTTACACTGAGCCACGTTCATTCATCACTTTCAAATCTAATTACCAAGCCATTTCCCTCTTGGCAACCTCTAATGGCCAGAAGATTTAGGTTTTACATGGTCAGGATACCAAGGGATAACAAATACCCATAACTCTTTGCAGCTGTGCAATTTGTAAAGCCTCTCAAGCTTTGTCCAGGCAAGGGATTACTGCGAAGCAAACTTTCCTCCTCATGGGCTGCTGTATCTGGACCCATCCTGCGGGTCTCGCTTCAGCACAGTCTGTCCTACAAAAAGTCATAACAACATCTTTCAAAAGGAGAAAGAAAAAAGTGTCATAACCTAGTCATGGAAGCAAATGCTAATTAGAACCACGAAGCTGTGGAAAAAGCTCTGTGTATCATGTAGTTCACCTCTCCCGGTGCACAACTGCTCCTCGCTGCATGTTAATCTGTGAAAGGCCACTTTTGTTTTAAAGATGTAAAGTGGCAGGTTGCCATGACTAACTCACAGTGAAGGAGAATCCTCTACCAGAAGCCTTTCCGATTTTCAGAAGTTTTTCCTATCTCAATCATTTTTCCTACTCAAAACTCATCGTGACACCTCTAACTTTCTACCACCTTTTCTTCCATAGGTTTATCATCTGTTCTTTAGAATCAGTTATAGTGAATGCCTCCCTTTTTCTTTATAGTCAGTCTTCAGCCCCTAACGCTTTATTTTCAGTTCTCTCTAAACTTCCTCTAACATCTCAACATAAACCAGACAGAGAGGGAAAAAATCTTCCAAGAGCACTAGAAGTGCAGTGTAACAGAACAAAATGTAGAAATGAATACAGCTCAAATCATCTGTCTTCACTATCACATTGGAAACTCGAGTCCATTCAGAATCATCCTCTCATCTCTTTGCATCAAGGATCTCCAGACTTTGCCATCGAGCAACTGCTCCTGACACTGTACTATTTTTCTTCAGAGGTGTAGGATTATATTTTTGTAAATTCTCTTCGAGGTTGCTATGTATCCAGCCCATATTTTTAATTCTTTGATTAATATGTATTAGTTTGTTGTCTAGGTGCAAAATTGGGAGGGGGGTGTGGATAGACACCAAGAAAAATCCAGGAGCTTATTTCATATAGATAAAATATACGGAACCTTTAAACAGGCTGGATAAGAAATAACCTTTTCAGAAATAACACATTTTGACACTGAACAATGTCAACTAATATAATTTTTGCTGACTTCAAATTATTACTTCTGGTAACTAATAAACACACACAAGCATGTTCTGTAAAACAAAACTGCTACACAAGACAGTTATATTAGATAGACGTATCACAATTATGGAGTTATGGCTTGAGAACGTATAACAAATGAAACCCTGTAGCATATCCAAATGCAGCTACAGTGTTTGCCATGAAGTCATGGCTTGTGCAGCGACAGAGGCTCCCACTACATGATGCAATGGAGATGTTATATTGAATGGTGCAAACAAAAAAATGTCTTAGCTTTCCTGATTACCTGTATTATAATAAATTACAAAGTCTATTAGTTTGTATGTGCCTGCTGATGAGAAAGGATTGTTTCGTGATCTCTACAGAAGGCTGGGAGCAAAACATTTGTGTTTTAAACCCACAAACTTTAGTCAAATCTAAACAAGTAATAATGGGTTAATGAATACTTGGCAAAGTGCTTTGAAGAGCAAAAACATTAAGCCATTGCTCAATGTTATTTCACATCTGTATTTCAGATCTGAACTACGCATAAAACTACTGTGACAACTTAAGTTTAGGCTTCTCTCTATCTCTGGACATGTCCTGTTAAGATCAGGAGAGGTTACCTACCTGGAAGATTTGGGATGCAGCACATTCTGCACAAATTCTAACAGGGATTTAAACTGAGAGCGAAAATTTTTACAAAGCTGTATCTCACAGAGCGTTTTTCGCTGTCAAGGCAAAGAAAACTAATTCAACCAACAGAGGGAATAGGGAGACAATATAAACAGGTGTTTCCTTGAAAACTTCAGTATGGTTAGTAATAGTACAGGAAATGGATCTCCAGAGGCCACAAATCGTTAGCATCTCTAATGCATTTGCAAATTCCTACTGTGCAAAGTCAGCCTGTAAAAAAAGGTCATTTCCAATAAGTGCCTTGTCTGGTTTCCTACACCATTTAATTTCAGATGAATTTTATGAGAACTCTGCTACATATTTTACCTCCCATCTGGTTCAGATTTGACAATGAAATATTTGTGTGTCCCACCCTGTTCTTTTTAAAGCTCCAAAACCAGATGTCTCCAGCACAACACAACTGCAGCAGGTCATACCACATTCTTCAGCAAGCTGTGCCAGGTCTACTCCCCCCCCCCCCCCCCCCACAGTTCCAGGTAAGGTAAAATTGCATTGTTTACTCCCTAAAAGAATAAAGCAAACAAACAAACAAACCCAACACCTCTAGGGCACTGTGTGAAAAGGCTGATTAAAATGTACTATGGCTTATTCTTCCAAAAAGTTTTATCTTGAAGAAGTGGTGTTTCTGAAAGCTAAACACATTAACAATTGCAGCAGGGGGGAGATATTTCCCACCCCCCCATTGGCTTGATTCCAGCACATGTTTTTGCAACTTCTTCATTGTGATAGCAGGTAGGTGTTTTAGTGCGTACCGCAGGGTGGCTAGCATTTCTAGGAAGTTTACAAATTTCACAGTTGGGTACACTGCATTTAAGAAGGATGCTGATGAAGATGTCTTCTACCAGACTTTGAATTTTCAACAGAAAATGTGTTCATTTCTTAGCAGTTTCACAGGGCAGCTCTATGCTGCATGCGATGTCACCTTCTATAACATAATTTACTTGTGTCGCTGAAATGTCAGAATGCCTTTTATCCTTTCCTGCAGACACAAGTGGCCCTTCTGAAATACAAAGGGATCTGTATGGATGCCAAGGTAGCTTCTTTTCCAAGAAAACGATGAAGTTGTGATGTGCCTTTAAACTAGGCAAATACTTTCTGCATGCACATATTTGATAGTTTTTCATGCAAAACAAAGCAAAGTACTTGCTCACAACAACTAGTAGTATTTTATAAGAAGGTATCCACCAAGAAAGGCCACTTACAGAGCCTGTCAAATTTTAAATACTATAGCAGCAACTAAAACCTGCTATAATCTTCCTTCAGACAAGAGCTAAACATCTCTCAGAATCATCACAACACAGGATATTAAAAAAAACATTGTTAGCTGCTTGCACAATAATCCCTTTTTAATGTCACATGAAAGGACATAGTGTTCCCAAATGTTTTCATGGAGTTTCATTTGGAGTCTGGCAAAATGTTTAAATGTAATTGTAAATTTAGGTATATGAGTAGTCTCCTTGGATATTTGTGTTATATAGCATGTGATCATATTGTTTCCTTGATGAAGACACTGTATTAGGCCAGTGCAACAATCCTGGGAAAAGAAAGGAGTTAGTTACTGGAAATAAATGCAAGTTAAAACCACAGAAAAGAGCCAAAGGGCATGAGAGCCATTTTATTCCTGCTAATGAGATGAGAAAGGAGGAACTCCACCAGCTTACCTGTTTATGCCAAGTCAAATACGCTTGAGTAGAAGTCACAAATGCTATCCTTCTGCATGTGGAATGAATATATTTAATAAAATAATTCTAGAAAGGTAACATTGTGCAATCACAAGTGTGTAAGAGTAATTCATCAGAAAATAACATCTGTGACTTTTGTAACAGGATTACTTACTTTCCCCTTTCAACTGCCAAGGCATCTATTTCATCAAAGAAAAGAATTGAAGGAGATACCGCTCTAGCTTTCCTAAAGATCTAGAAAAACAACAATGAAAGAGTTTTAAGGGATGGAAAAATTTTTACAGAATGCTATCACTCCCTGCCCACCTCAAAAGCTACTGAGCATCACAGAACAGACATAAACCTTGTTGTCTTTTTTTAAAAAAAACAGAAACAAGAAACAAATAACAGACCTTTTAGAAGTTATTCATGATACTGCACAATGCAGGTTTACAGTGAAAGCTGCTACTGGATCCCAAATTTGACATGCAACACTAGGCCAACGCAGGACAAAGTTAAATAACAGAGTATCCCTTCTGCTTTTTTTTTCCCCTCTTCTTTTTTAAACTTAAACCAGGAGGTTTTTTTTTTTTAAAGTTTAAAGGTAATCTTATAAGCAGAGAAGAATTTGAATACCAAGAAAGCTTAACGTATAACACTATGTACAGCCTGCCCTTTCTCACCTCTCTCACTGCTCGTTCAGACTCACCAACATATTTATTCATCAGCTCGGGTCCCTGCAAAAATAATAAAAAAAAAAGATTTAAAAAGCACATTACTTTTACATTAAAAAAATGACTGAGACTATCTGCCAGTGCTACAATTGATGCTCTGTTACAAGCAATTTTGATAATTTGCCACTTGCAAGTCTTATTTGTGCATTTTTAGATTTAGCTTCTACCTGTACCATTTGTTATAGCACTGGGCATGCATGTAACTATGCATGTAGGTTAGTCCTCTCATGATAATACTTTCCTAGTACTTTCATGAGAAACGGAGTTAACCAAAAAAATAACCAAACACTTTGGGGTTCTTAAAAGTTTTGTCGGTTCAACAACAGCAACAAAGGGTCCACAAATCAGCCAAAAAGATGAACTACAGAAAAGCATTTACTTGCTCTCAACATGTATCCTGTCCAGCCAAGCACCACAACTGTGACTTAAAACAATGTTTAACAGCATTTCTTTGAACTTGACAGTCTGCAGGTTGAGAAAGAAGCTGCCGCCATAGCAGCACACCTGAAAACCATCCATGAGGTAGTCCAAACCCAGCAAGAAAGCTGTTCAGTGTCTTAGCTTATTCATGCTGCTTCTCCTCCCTACCGAGACTGCCAAGCACAATTATTAGTGCCAGCTGCTGCAGTGCCTGTTTATACTCACAGTCCTGTCCACTAGGAACAGACTGGAGACCACAGGGTCAACATTCAAGTCTTGAACAAGTACTTACAATTATAAAAAGTAAAACAATGGCGAATTCTCAGAGTATTTTCTGTTCTGCTATATCCTGTAGGATAGGCTGCTTAAATAATGCTTCCTAATGGGACTAAGACTCTCATGGGATCGGTAATGACTCATTGACTTCAGCCTGGTTTGCATCAACATTGACCTGTAGCCACAACCAACGATGATTATCCACTGCCCTGAATGAAAGGAGCCAGTGGTTTCAATCCGTTTTCCAGGGAACAGGTGTCCTCATAATTCCCAGCAGAAACAACATCCTTCTTCACAGTCGGAAAACTGAACCACCTTCCTGTGCTTCACAGCTGTGAGTACCTTCAGGTAATGCTCAGCTCAGAGCAGTAAAGCAGCTTTAAACAGCAGGTATGTTAGAATTAAGAATGCGGGGCAGACACACATTTGTACATCGGCAGTGAGAGAGCTTCTGTTCAACCCCTCTTGGAATGGGACTTTGTACCCAGACCAGTAGAATACAGATTCATTACTCTAAAAATGCAGCACACTGGTTTTTGCAGTCTCCCCTCTCCATGCTCATTTTCACTCTTGCAATAACAGTTAATGCACTGACTTTTATCTTAACACTGGCACCATTGGGAAGTACCTGTGCATATATACAGGAAAAAACATATACTCTAAAAAGGAAAGTACAGGTTATCTGATATCAGCAAAGCATCCAGGCTATGCCAATGGTTTTATTCATTTATTTTCAAAGAGTTGTCCATGATCCAAAGGACCAGGTGAGATACTGCAGTAGCCAGACCTAGTGTACCGCAGAGGTAAAAGCAATCCTGTAAGGGCTGGAAGAGCAGCAGTGGGTGCCTTGCCCCTAGGAAAGGTAAATGATACAATTAGCATTGCTTCCTTTCATCAGCATCCACCCTTAAAGCAACTGCTGCAGTAGCTGAAGTGTCACCTGCAGGTTTTCAACAACTTCAAAATTTGAGTCTGTTGGATACTTGCGTGGAAACAGAATTATTCAGACACATAACTGAAGAATGTAGGAAAGAAAGAAAGAAGGAAAAAACAAACTAAGAGAGAAACACAAAGCCTTTTCCTACTATTCACTGCAGACACGAACATGAGGAAGCATGCAGCAGTCTGTGCAGAACAGGCTTGCAGCTCAAAGAGACAGCACCCAGCTGCTCCAGGCCCTTGCCATTCATCACCGTCAGTACAGATGAGGAATCCGATAGCATGGGTCTAAAATCCTTAAGGAACAAGAGCACGGTCTTCTCTCTCTGCCTAGGTTTCTGTTAAACTGAGCTGATACACTGATACACTTCTTGGCAGTGCTAGGTTAACGGTTGGACTGTATCTTAAAGGTCTTTTCCAACCTAAATGATTCTATGATTCTAAACCTCTGCAGATTCTACCCACAATTACAGATTTCTTTTACTAACTTTTTCTTGGAGCCTGTGGACCTTCTCTTTCATGCCTTTATTCTCATAAGTAATCTTCATTCACATCGGTATTCTCATGGAAACCAACATCATATACAACAGTGCCAATAGTGTACTCCTCTAGTATGACACAACATCAAATAGCCTGACATTTTCTTTTCTTTCGTCTGAGCAAAAAAATACTTAAAAAGCTCAAAGACAGTAGTTTTGGTTAAGGTACAATATAATTTCAGATGCATGGAGTTTTATTTTTAATTAAGCATGAAAATATGATCAAGGCAACATCAAAGCAATAAATACCGTTTAAAATGTTTCCAAAGAGAATTATTTTGAATGCATGGTTTTGCTGTAAGCTTTGACATGAAGTTTTTCTCCATTTTTCCTCTTCATTAAGCAGCAATTCCAGGTGAAAGACCACTATGTATTAACGACCTATGCCTCTTCATGGAGAATTTTCATGAAAATGGATTTGAAGGTCTCCTAGTTCACCACTCCTGAGTGATACCCAAAACTGCTGTTGAGAATCACGTTTTTTATTGCAAGCTGCTTGGAACTCTTATTATACATAGCAATAAAGGAAAAGACTCCACAGTAAGAGAATGCACGCACAGAAGAGGAGAAATTGGTATAGATTTCATCTCATGCAAACATGTAAAACCACAACACAAAAACTAGAAATGTTCAAAGAAGCTGGATGTAGAAACCAAACCGGGTTAGCTCTGGTCCCACCTGAGCTGAACCCCTGCCTTACCCTGTCTGCAAACGGGCTGTCCTTCAGCTGAGATTGATGGCAGTTCTTTCAAAAGATAGATCAGTATGATAAGCAGTCTATAGGCCACCACAAAATCACCTGCTGACAGCTGACATGGTTGCTAATTTTCACAAAGCTCACCTTCTCTTTTAAGGAAGGTTGCTTTGAAGTTGGAGGCCGCTCAAGAAATATCAGAAGGGTGGGGTTTTTTTTTTTAATTTTTCAATGCTTTTCTAATGCTTTAAAAAAAAAATCAAATTACATGAGACTGACTTAGTTGGCAAATTGACATTTGTTGAAACATCATTTTTGGCCCAGAGGTGGGCATAATGAGTCCTTTAAAAGCTGTTTATCACTGTTGATATACTGACCAAGAGGTGCTAGTAACAAGCAGTCCAGTTCAATGACGCATAGCTCTGTTCTCTTCTACAACAAGCCATCTCCCATACAAAGGAACATAGAGAAGTAAAACTCCTTCCTTCTGGTCATTTGCACAGTGACTCCGAAACCAGCAAAAGATTTGGAGCAGCAAATTGGCAGAAGTAGTTGTAGCTTAGCCATGTATCTAAGCATACCATTTGTGAGCTACAATCCAGACTAATAGTGTAAAATCTGCCAATTCAGGCCCACTGTACACTGCTGAGTTTTGTTTATTCAGCCTCACAGTAGAGAGAGTTTCCAGGTATGCTCTGCTTAAAGACTACCCCATCCTCATTTACAACATACATTCCCCTTGTATCATGAAATCTTCTACTTGTTTATGGTCTGGAGTGGGTGTTGATTATTTTTTTAAATAAAAAAGAAAAAAGAAAACTCCTTAAATTTAAAATATGATCAGAATAAGCCCTTGAAAGATTAACTGCACAAAAGATAAAACCCCTGCACACAGGCTGCAACATGAGATAAGCTCATGTACACATGGTTATGTCAGAAGTTCTTAAAGTGTTTTTAAACTGCAAGAGGAACATCTGGTATCCCCAAAGTTAAAGAGTATCAGTAATTTTTCTATGCAGTGCTTGAAACCACTTGCAGATTTTTTCCACATGAAAATACCAGGGTAGCAACTGATAGGAAATTTAGTTAGCGACTTCCCTCTAAAAAATTTTTTTTTTTTTTACTGTTTTGACAATCAGGTAAGTTATGCATTCATGCTTGTTGAGCCAGATGGACACAGCTGCAGATTGCTCCAGCATACAGCTCTACCTACTCTCTTCAAAAATACTGCCATAACCTCACATGCAGGTTCTGGGCTGTAACACAGACACACTAAACCATGTCAGCCATAAAGTATGATTCATATTTTTTAAAAATCCAATTAATTAGAGAATTTATATCACATCTTACAGATTATTACTTTACAACAGATAACGCAAAATTCCTTCTTTGCCACGTTCAAAGTAGAAATTATCAAACAGACATTTAAATATCAGTCATAATTAATATTTAATTTCAAATGAAGTATCTAGAAACTGAGCTCTCTACTATAAATCTCAAAAAGAAATAAAAAAACAGAAGAGGGTGCCAAAATTAGTTTTCAACTGTTCAGAATGCTTACCTAGGGCAACATTCATTGCCCACACTCAGATAGCTGCATCTGAGTTAGACATTCACACTAACTGATTTGGACAGGCAGATGTCTACCTCACAGATGCCATACACCTCACTCTGATGTGTTAATTTCTCATCAGACTGCAGGAAGAGCTTAGACAGCCAGCTCAGAGGAGTGAGGCTTGATCCCACTCCTACCAGTACATCTTTCATGGAGTTAAAATCAGCATTTAGGCTTTTTTTTTTTTTCTTTCCAGATCCATGACAATGCAGATGAGATGATCTACTATAAGAAGGTTAACTGATTTGGAAGAGACTAAGAAATTAGTTACTTAGTCTTTTGATACTGTAATCTCAATGGTGAAATGCTATCCCATCCCTATCACAGTCAAACCCAAAACAACATATGACTCAGGCTGGCTGCAGGAGAGAGAGTTAACAGGATAAACAGTGAGGCTTCCTTTATTTTAACAGTAAGACTATTTCTAATGCAAAGGTTGTACATGCGTGACTTGGTAATTGTTACACTACATAGAAAAATATTTGCTCAGAAAACGCATTATATTTCCTTGTTAAGAATA